TTTTGGTAGTTATCTTGGAATGATCGTGGCTTGGCTTCGGGCTTTTGGTCGTGCCCACCCCGCTAAACAGCTCCAGGTACTCCCACACCCTCCTACTGTACCACTACTGTACTACTACTGTACAACTACTTTAATACTAGTGTACTACCACTTTACTACTACCCTCTTACAAGTATACTTCTGTACTACTATGGCACCGCTACAGTACTACGACGGTACTACTATTGTACTACTGTACTACTACTGCATTACTACCGTGCTAGTACTTGTACTACTACTGCACGACACACCACTGCACCGCACCAGGCCTCAGACGTGGTCGAGTGGAGGGGAGTGTAGGTTGGAGGCAAAAGTCTTCAGAGTGAAAGGTTTGCAGTTTTGGTAGTTCTCGTGGAGTGACCGTGGGTTGGCTTCGACTGTTGGTCGTCCCCAAACCTCTCTAGACAGATCCAAGTACCCCTAAACCCTCGTACTGCACTGTAACTACTACTGTACGACTGTCGTACTACAGTACTACTATTGTACTACTCTACCCTTTTGTACTACTACTGTACTACTACTGTACCGTACCGGGCCTCAGACGTGGTCGATTGTGGAGGGGAGTGTAGGTTGGAGGCAAAAGTCTACAAAATGAAAGGTTTTTAGTGTTGGTAGTATCTTGGAGTGATCGGGGCTTTTGGTTTCCGGCCTTTGGTGATCCCCCAAAACCGTTAAACAGCTCCAAGTACACTTAAAAACCTCGTACCGTACTACTACTGTACTACTACTGCATTACTACTGTACTATTACATGCATTACTACTGGACTATTACGTTTATTCACCTGCGCATCATCGAGCTTCTTCTTGTATCTCTGCTACCTGTAATGTGGCGGCCGTGTAATAGCCACCCCCCCTCGACCAAAGGTTTTTGGCTTGAATAGTCTGGTGTCCGTGACCCCCTGGACCGGGGTTCGGCTGGCTGAGGGTCTGAATGGCTTTGGTTAAGTTAGAAGGGAAATGGGGGGTCGCAGGGTCGGTTTGAAACCTGCGCGAACGCCGCGGTCGGGGGGTTTGGGGATCACCAAAAACTTGAAACCAAGCCGCGATCACTCCAAGATAACTACCAACACTAAAAACCTTTCATGTTAAAGACTTTTGCCTCCAACCTAAACACCCCCACGATCGACCAAGTTTGAGGCCTGGTACGGTACAGTGGCGTGTAGTACAAAGTACAGTAGTACAGTAGCACAGTAGTACATTGGTGCAATAGTAGTACAGTAGTAGCACAGTACAAGCACAGTAGTGTGTTCATCGACTCAAGCAGGGAGCGCCGCTGTAAACTTTGCTTTGTGTGGGTGCTTTGTCTTTGCTCTTTATATGTTTTGCTGTTTGCTGTCGTATCTGGTATCTATATGTGCTTATAGGGTCATGGCTTTGAGTTTGGCGCGGGGGCGAGGCTGGCCTGGGAGGTGGGCTGATAAGGCGCAAGGGCGAGGGCTGGGGACCGGGCTCGGGACTTCATAATTTTTCAAAAGACTAATTAATATTTAATGAGATTTAGCTAGATGTAGTAAGATTTTATTTGTTTTGTGTTCCTTTCTAACACTGATTAGATTTAATATAATCTCCCTGCAAAGAGACTCTCTATCTATCTATCCAAGAAAAGACGCTTCCACGGGGGGGGTCACTCGGGGGGTCTCCCCCCCGCCCCCCCTGGGGGCCAAAACTACAAAGTTTGGATCAACAGGGCTTAGCAATAAGATTCAATAAGATTTTTCCGGGGCGTGCCACAATTGTACAAATGTCTTCTAAGATTCAATAAGATTCAATAAGATTTTTTGGGGCGGTCTGGAGTCGGTGTCCCTTTTAAACATGATGGACCAATAAGATTCAATAAGATTTAATAAGATTCAATAAGATTCAATAAGATTCAATAAGATTTAATAAGATTTAATAAGATTCAATAAGATTCAATAAGATTTTTCCGGGGCGTGCCACAATTGTACAAATGTCTTCTAAGATTCAATAAGATTCAATAAGATTTTTTGGGGCGGTCTGGAGTCGGTGTCCCTTTTAAACATGATGGACCAATAAGATTCAATAAGATTTAATAAGATTCAATAAGATTCAATAAGATTCAATAAGATTTAATAAGATTCAATAAGATTTAATAAGATTTTTCCGGGGCGTGCCACAAGTGCCACAAATGTCTTCTAAGATTTTGCCGGGCCGATCTTCCAGAAAAGGCTTCATGATAAAATGCTGCTGGGGCTGGGGCTGGGGCTGCTCGGCTGGGGCTGCTGGGGCTGGGGCTGCGGGGGCTGCTGGGGCTGGGGCTGCGGGGGCTGCTGGGGCTGGGGCTGTTGGGGCTGGGGCGGTTGGGTGGGGTGGGTGAAGGGAGAAAAGGGTGTAGTCAAGGAGAGAGGCTGGGTGGGGTGGGTGAAGGGAGAAAAGGGTGTAGTCAAGGAGAGAGGGCCCGCCCCACCCGCCAGTCCCCCAGCCCATGCCTGCCTGCTTCCGCACGCCCAGCCTTCCCTGCGAGCCGCGACCGAGCAGAAAGCCTGTAAATACCGCGTTAAAACAACCGCCAGGGATCCCACACATCTGCGGGCAAAATCTGGCGGAAGTGATCCGCCACCGAGCAAAAAGCCTGTAAATACCGCATTAAACAGAGGGCCAGGGATTTCACACATCTGTTGGCAAAATCTGGCTCCAGATTTTGCCAACAGATGTGTGAAATCCCTGGCCCTCTGTTTAATGCGGTATTTACAGGCTTTTTGCTCGGTGGCGGATCAGTTCCGCCAGATTTTGCCCGCAGATGTGTGGGATCCCTGGCCGTTGTTTTAACGCGGTATTTACAGGCTTTCCGCTCGGTTGCGGCTCACTTCCGCCAGATTTTGCTAACAGATGCGGTGGTGGGCTGGGGTTGGGGCCTGGGGCCCGCAAGGGGTGTCCCATTAGGTTTTACAGTAGCAGTGCAATAGTAGTACAGAAGTACAGTAGTAAGAGGGTAGTAGTAAAGTGGTAGTACAGTAGGGGTACATTACGAGGGTGTGGGAGTACCTGGAGTTGTTTAGCGGGGTGTGGGCACGACCAAAATCCAAACCACGATCACTCCAAGATAGCACCACTAAAAGCCTTTCATGTTGAAAACTTTTTTCGTCCGGCCTACACTCCTGTACAGCAGTGCATTAGTATTGTAATAGTACAGTAGTAGGACAGTCGTAGAAGAGAAGTACAAAAAAATCAGTCGGCCCAACAAAGAACGCACTAATCATTAAGGCCACATTTTTTGATACAGGCCCGAATAAGCACAGGAAACACGCATCAACTAGTCAGAAGGACCCTCACATTAACCTGTATTAATGGGGTGATGCTATTAGTCAATTTAAGTATTCGCATGCGCTTGGCATGTTGCTACTTGTTTGTGTTTGCTTGGTGACTGTTTTGTGCAAGTCTGTTGTTGTGTGTCTTGGCCCAAAACTTCTTTACACAAAACGAATCACAACGTCGCCTCCTGCTTGGAAGCAAAACAAGATATAGAAAACCTGGCTCAGTCTGGTCACGGATTTAGGAAAAGCAATCCACACTGGGGTGATTGAGCCGGGGACTGGCCATCCCCCCAGCCCCAACACCAGCACAGCCCAATTCCAAGACGCCAAATCGTGGCCCCAGCCAGCCCAGCCCCCCAGCCGACCCCACCCCCCCGCACCCGACCCACCCCCTACTTTCGAGGGACACGCCTTGCGATTTGATGATTTTGCTATGGGGACAGGCACCGGACACCCCTTGCGAGCTGCGAGTTTTTAGACAGCCGTAGGGGGAGCCCTTGCGGTTCATGATTTGGGAACTTATTTTTAATACAAATCTGCGTGATTTGGGGATCTGCGTTTCGTCACTACTAATTACGGTACTACTATTGTACTACTGCATTACTACTGTGCTATTACTTGTACTACTACTGTACGACACACCACTGCACCGCTCGAATCCATGTGGGGAAGGCATTTCAAAGGACACCTTAAACCCTTAGAATCAATCACAACCCCCAACTTAAATTGATAAACAATTTTAAAAACAAACAAAACAAATTTGTAGACGTAGAACAGCAGGAAGCCAGGTTGAACAGCAGGATGCCGTTTATCATTTGACGCAATCACAACCAAAAAATTTTAAATTGATGAAATAATAATTTCAAAAACAAATAAACAACAAATTTGTAGACGTACAACAGCAGGAAACCAGGTAGAACAACAGGAAGCCACTTGACTCAATCACAACCAAATACTTATAATTCACAAAAATATAAACCTTAAAACCAAATAAAGACATTAAAAGACAAATAAAAACGTTAAAAGACTTTTAAAAACTTTTGAATACGAAAAAAAACTTTAAAATACAAATAAAATCGTTAAACGACTTTTAAAAACTTTTAAACACAGATAAAGCCAACCACATACAAAAATAAGATTTTGGGTTCCTTTCATATAAGCCTTGTTGATCTAAACCCTGTGGTTCTGGTTCGGCGCAAAGGGTTAAGGATAGTAGTAGTAGTAGTAGTAGTAGTAGTAGTAGTTGTTGTTGTTGTTGTTGTTGTTGTTCTAGATTGTCGTAGTAGTAGCAGTAGCAGTAGCAGTAGCAGTAGCAGTAGCAGTAGCAGTAGCAGTAGCAGTAGCAGTAGTAGTAGTAGTAGTAGTAGTAGTAGTAGTAGTAGTAGTAGTAGTAGTAGTAGTAGTAACAGTCGTAGGAGTAATAGTAGTAGTAGTAGTAGTCGTCGTCGTAAGTAGTAGTGCTCAGCGAGCACATATAATGACGTTACGTCGACTTTAGCCACGCTCGCGTGGAACTTTCGCGCTACTCGGTAGACCGGAGTCTGATTTTGGCACCTCGCTGAAGCCTTCTGCGACATTCGCGGATTTAAATATATGCCATCTCGACACTTGAGCGGACATGTTGTTTTACATCTATATAATACCGACGGCACTCATAAGTAGTCCACCTGATGTCTTCTTCGTCACGCCTGTCTCTGAATGGGCACGTGGAAATATCGCGCGATGTTCTCGCGCAGCACCCTGGCCTTGGAAGAACAGCTGGCGAGCTCTTCTCTGTTGCAGTCCTTCTGAGGGCGCCCGTAGGATTTTCGGGATTCCGGCATTGGCTCTGAGAGATCCGGCAGCTCGACGCTTCCGAGGTGGGTCTCCGAACATCGAAGAGCAGACCTTGAATCCGGACGAGGGCCCTGCAAAGGCCGGTGTCCGAAGGAAGTCGCTCATCTCCTCTCCAAGTGATCAACTGTTGCTGTCTTAGCTGCACACGTGTGCCTGCATTGATGGGACGCTGTTGCAGAGTTGTGGATTGGTTATTCATCGCGGGAACATTCGGAAAGTTATTGAATCCTGCATAGACCTCGTGTAGAGCACAGGCACGTCTTTGCCAGCCTGCTATTAGTCCGCATGGGCACGATGTTCAGGGAGAGGGGACAGACAACAAACGAAGGCGAGAAGCAACCAGGAGACTACAAGGAGCATGCTCACTGCACCCATGGTTTCCCTAATCTAATTCGACCTATGCGTCTTGTATCGTATGTACTAAGTACATAGTTACGGGGATGCAACTGTGGCTGAAAGGCTACTTTCCACCCATCGACAAGTTCAGCGAAGCAAGACTTCAAAGCACGTTCGCACAGAACGCCTCCACGCAGAACCAGTCGTGGAGCATGCCGCTCACCTGCGCGACCCGCGTTGACAAAGCCATCCGCAAGAAACAACTCTCAACCCGCTCCGATTCCGACCCATGAAGTTTGCACGATCGACGGTTCAGTCGTCGACTCTGAACCTCACATCCCCAGAGATGCACAATCCAATTCAGGCTCTCGGCACCTCGACCCGGAGGATGCGTGAGGTCTGCCGTGAGGCCTGACAATGCTGCAGAAGCAAGCAATAGGTTCAATAGGCTCTGCAAACAGCTTAAACCCATAGCACGGCTCTTTTTTCTTGGACTTTGTCCTGGTACCCCACTACACAAAACAGGCCCTGGTATCTGCCTGAGCTTAGGACACAAACATTTTGCATTGCAGCAGATCTTGTCCAGAAGCCTTATTAAGATGATTTTTCCTGTGCTCCTGTGTCTGTGCTCACCAACTCGCAGCATGTTGCAATTGTTCAATGGGTCCAACTAACACTAACAAGGTCAAGGGCAATCATGCGAGCTGAGGAGTTGCAGCAGAATACGCATCATCCAGCCTTCCATGCTGGAAAATTTGCGAGAACCCAAAACACGGCAGCAGACTACTCGAAAACTTTGCAGCAGTTTGTCTGAAATGTGCGATTTGGGACGCGAGCATGTTTTGCTTGTAGGAGACGTAAGTTGGTGTGGGGGTACCCCACCATTTTGGAGCCCATCGCTAGCTGTCACGTTTGCAAAGGGGCTGGTACTCTCAAGTTTTTAGGCCGTTGGCCCGGCAGCAGCATCTGTGGATGCTTGACGTTTAAAAAACTTTCTATTGAACAATAATAGTATTAACATGAATATTCATAATAACACTAAATCAACATTAACATTGAACTTAATACTAATATTACCACCCATATGAGTGCACGGTCCAGGGAGCTCCCTTAGCCTTGGACCTACCAGGGGGACTGCAGGGCGCCGGGCCTTACTGAATTCCGACTCCAGCTCCGAGGGCGGCCTCTTCGTAAGGCCAGGCGGCTCTAGGATTCGGGCATCCATCCCTGGGTTGTCATTACTACTATGAGTATGATTACTCCTATTAGTACTTAATCTTTATTTTTCTTACTCACGATTACTACTTTTGCTACTCTTATTGTATCTATTTCTTGTTCAATGCGATTTGAGAGTCTGGGCATGGGTCTGGAAGGTCTGGGCCAGGCAAGGCGACTTGAGCTGGAGTTGCTCTAGACATCACATCTGGGAGTTTCCGAAAATAGGGGACCCTAATAGAGCACCCTAAATATTAGGATCCTTATTTTCAGGACTCCCAAATGAGACATCTCGAAGCCAACGTTGGCTGCTCTATGCCATGGAAGCTCGGTCATACGGTTCTGCCCGCCCAATTGCAAGACTTAAGCTGCTTCAAGCTTAACCATGGGTACAGCCTCGGCCGTACAAAGGATCCGAACACCCTCTACTATAATATTGCTATAATTATTCTATGATAATACTATAATCTCGAAACGTTCCAAGTCACCTGGCAGCTGCAGCTGGTGATGAACGCTCGGCATCGGCAATGAGCTTTGCGAGACCTTTCAGAAACAAAGGCTATCATTTTGTTACACATGTCTATGGTTATTACTCTGATTATTGTCGCTTTTGATTTTACTGTTGATTACTGATTACTATGATTCGGACCATGCTCATCATTGTGATTATAACGAAAGCAATAGACCGGCCCCCTTGCGGTGATGTATCTTTCTGTGCGGCTGCAATGCAGCAGGCCGACGATTGAGAGCCAAACTCATGGCCATCGACAAGCCATTGATTGGGAGCCCTGGACGGCTCTGCAGTAGAAAAGTATACGATGTATTATGTATTTGATATGTTAATTCAAAAGTTATGTGTTCTAGCTGTCGTCTTAAGCTTCAGGGTCTTCGGGTCGCTTGAAACAAGAATAGAGATCCACGAAAGGGGTATGGTTTCCAATTTGCTACTGGCTGCTTGGGGCTCGATCAGGCACCTTCGATGTGCTACTTTTGCAGCTCTGAGCCACAGCCAGACTCATGAGCTCGGGCTGGGTAGGAAAAGGCATTCCAACACTGCCTACGCTGCTTGCCGAACGCCGAAAAGGAGGAAAGGACTCTCCTAAACCTACACGGAGCGAAGATGGTGGTGCAGTCCCGCAGAGATTCGCAGACACCAACAGAACCCGCCAGAAGACAAGGGAGCCCATGAACTGCAGCCTCTTCCTCCCAAATGCCCTGACTAGCCTTTTTCGGAGGAACCGTGTTGCACCGACTGCAAGCCAAGCGCAGCCGTATGCACAGTAACGCACCGCCGGCCAGCACGAGATCCGGGCTGAGAGTCGGGTGTCTCGTGGTGTGAATCAGTCATATAGGGCCTTAATGATTAGAAGAGGGTTAGAATGAGGAACCCCCGAAAGAGTACAGGTAATTATTAAGGCCCCTATAGTAGGTTTGCTTTGCATTGTGGGCCCTGTTCTACAGTATCAGCTGACTAAGGCTCCGTAAGGGGCCCCTACAATTCCTAGTCACGAGGAGCCATGTAGCCAGGGTTCAGGCGCCATGTAAAGAAATCACAGCGGGTGTCGGGCCTAGGGTCAGAACTCTCCCTGTGTTGGCCTCTAGTTGAGGCTAGAAACTTCGGCAGCTACGCACTTTGTGCAAGGTGTGCTGGTGATCTATGCTCGCCGGTGGTGTGCTCTAGGAACCCCTTGGCTAACTCCACGACTCTGGGAAGAGTGTCCCATCGGGCATGAACACTGCCTTCGCAGCAAACGTCCCTCAGCAGGAAGATTTGACCATTATGCTTGAACTCCCGCAGTTCGATCATAGTGTGCAGCTGATCATTCCTGACCCTGTCTCGCCCGATACATGAAGCTCGTGATATGATACACTCGAATGCCTGCGCAATGTCAATCCAAAGCTGCATGGCCTAGCAAAGCTTACCGGTTCTGGTGATCCTAGACGTTTTTGGGCTGTGTGTCCAGACAGAGTCTTGGAGTATGCCGTATCTGAAAAAGATAATTGGGCCCTCTGTTCAGCCTAACGGTCCTTTGCACCGGTGAAATCCTGTCGCAATGCGGGCATAGATCGCCCAAGCTCTCTCTGAGGCCTTCGGCTGGGCATCACGCTGCCCGTATGTGACGAACGACTCGACTAACTTCAGACACTGTTTCACGAAAGTTGTTCGAAACGCATACTAGCTGAACAGATGGAAAGATGTCCGAGGCAAAGTGCATCCACTGGGGGCGTTACTCATCATCACCCTGGCAAGAGCTCCCGGAAACAACATCAACAACCGAATCAACATACTTTCGCCGCCGCACATTTCTTCTTGAGTATCCATCCCCAGTTTGGACACACTGCCTGCATCTCGTGCAGTCTGGAAAAGAATTCTTCAAGAGTTTCCATCATTCTGCTCCGATGAATAATCTGTCGAATGGATTCTGCACAAGTCTTGACCAGCATCTGTTTTGATTCGTGGTCGAAGCAGGTTGACGGAAGCTCCCAAAAGAGATTACTGCCTATGCGTCTGGGCCCTTGGGTCTCTGACCGTGCCACCTTGGCCTGCGACCCCGAGAAGGTGCAAGGAGCAACGGTCCACGGTAGTCCAAGGCGGAAAAGCTCCAAATCCAGCAGAACAGGCCACGCATCACAACCCACCTAAGTCTGAGTGCCCTGTGTCTGACAATGACTGTGTGTGCAACTGCACATCACCCCAGCAAAAACATACCTGTGATCGCCATCAAGCGGACTCAGGAAAGAGTCACTAAGTAGTCAAGCTTTGGTGTCCGTATCAAGGCACGCAAGAACCTTCCCATTCTGCATGAGAACATAGAGGGGCTGCTACCTCGAATTGGGAGCTGGAATACGTAGTTAAGAATTCTCGTGGAGGAGCTCTTCACTTGGTACAGCTCGACATGATATCCCTATTTGTTTGTATGTGGTGAAGCCGTCTCCACATGGGTGGTTGTCAAAATTATGGTCCAATCCGAGAGACCAAACCCTTGTCTTGCAAACATGCAACCGTCAGAAGATGTCAGACCACGAGGGGCAGAGAAGAAGAGTGCGGACCATGGCGGAAAAGGGGTGGACATACATACAACTTGTAAAGACCTACATGATATGTAAGGAAAAGCTATATGCGCATTCCAAATTTATGTATGTATGTATGCAGCTGGCATGCAAAAAATGGTTTATACATGTGTGTATATATATATATATATATGTATGTATGTATGTATGTATGTATACATGCGGCAAGGAAGTTTAAGCACACGAAAAGCACACAGGTGTATACATGTTTACAGCTGTGTAGGCGCGGATAAACAACTATCTATATACATGGGTGATGTTATATGGATTTCCTCGCTGTCTTGCAAAACCCCCAAGCCAGTTCACCATTTCACCGTTCATTGCCCCCATGTGGTTAGGCCCCCTCACCGTTTGAGAGTCAACAATTATCCAGTTCATGTCCCTCCATATGGTGACCATTCATTTCCGCCATATCACCATTCCACAATTCAAATCCTTCATGTGGTTGGGTCGGGTCATTTCGGCATTCATTTCTGCCCACCTGGTCAAGCTCCTCAGTTTCATAGGGCCAAACTAATTGGTGACATGGGGAAATGCTTTATGGGTTTCGACATGGGGCCAGAGAAAATTGACGACGTGGTTTAGGGTCTAAGGGTATAGACGTCGGGCTAAACTATTTGATGAAATGGTGAATTGGCGAGATGGCCTACTGGTGACATGGTCTTGGGGGCGTAACCACCCCACATAGTGGGCGTGAGTTGGTGAAATGGTGAGTTGGTGAAGTCAAGGGTGGTTTGGGTACCATAGTAGGATCAAACTGACTGGTGAGATAGTGAAAACTGTTTGTTGGCTTGATGGTTTCGGACCTTACCAGTACCCGCCATATTGAAAGACTCGTTGAAAGACTGAATTTTTGAAGGTGAGACAAGAAAGGGTTGCAATGCTTTGGCAATTTGGGGGCTTCACTGTCCCGCTGCACAATAAACATTGCGAGACAACCTTGCTTCATCAGTACTTTATCAACACCTAGACAAACTTTTGCGGAGTTTAGGTGCTTTAGGACGCATGCAACTGCAACGAAGCAATCCAAAGACTGGGAGAAGATGCGGTCGTAGGTAGCCGGCATGTACTCGGATGTTCGAGGAATGGCACAGTGTTTAAGACAGATGAATTGCGTGTTCCCGGACCACATGCATATTCCCGCGGCTTTAGCACAAAGGCCATGCTGCACGATCTTTCATGATGGTCTGACCGTTCCACTACATGGGGTTTACAAGAGAAAAGGCAATCGATGTACACATCTGACGAATGGGAGCTTACATGTCACTCACCCACCGTTGGAAGGAACAACAGAACATGACTGGACAGTTGAAGGAGAGCACGAAGAGTTACTACGAGACAGGAGATTAAGCGATTACCGGGCATGACAAAATAGATGCATGACCGTCGAGCAATTTATTTTTAATGCAAACGTTCGAAACCGATTAGACAAAGAACAACGCAGTGATGCGATCGTCCAAGGACTGAGGAACTCGTGAAAACTGTTCTAGAGGAAATGGAGTCATGACTCCCTGAATCTATGACCCGAGGATCCTCACAAGCCCGTAACGCGTGGCTGCTCTGCCATGGAGGTCCGAACCCAGTCCCTACGAGTATGCCAGCTCGACTTTAGCGGCAGGCCCTGTCAAATACAAATTCGAGTACTCGGCCACTGGAATCTCCTGCGAGCAGAGGCGGCTGCAGTCTCCAGCTTTCTCAACGGCACTGCACGCATGCAAGCCTCAGGCAATCATGAAGCTACATCCCGACAAGAACCTCCTTGGGCTGCTTCACGACCCGCCGCGTGTAGCAGTAGTTGATGACCTATCAGAGTCAACGGGTCGCGGGCCGGCCACCGACAAGCTCTTGACTTTCCAAACCACCTCCATGACAATGGCGAGTAGCAGGAACGCCTGGCGGCAAGGAAGGAAGTTGCGAACTGCACGTCTTCTTCAAAGGGGCTCGGGAGCGCAAAGCTATGAGAATCGATAGTTCCGTGCTCGAAAGAAGGATCCGGATAAGTCAGCCACTGATCCCCTGACATCCCCTGCGACGAAAAAGTAAAAATCTCATTGTAACTTGTAACCCACGGATCAAACCAAACCTTGGGTTCGCGCTGCCTTCAAGACCGAGAAATCTTTCTCCCGAGCCACCAGCACCGTAAAGCCATAGGTCACAACCAAGGAAGCCGCATTGCAGATGTTCCTCGAGGAGACTGGTGCGAAACATGTGAGTCAAGAACTTCGCGGCATGGCTCCGTCCGTTGCACTGCACTGCCCTTGTGTCACTCTTCGACGATGCAAGTGCGGCATTCGCAGTGGCACAGGATGCCGTGCAGTTGCTTTTTCTCAATGTCCCTCTCTGGCGACAGGCTAACATGGGAACTCTTCTGTCGTGGACTCATTCCAAGACCCTTCCGTCTCGCATAGTTGAAGGCCCAGATGCTTGACCAACGAATCGAAGTGCTTGACACACAAGCCTAAGCTTCTGACGACGGCTTCAGGGCTTCAAGGCTCCCTACCAGCGTGTGCACCTCGGCTGTCGTGTGGCTCCATCTGCCTTGCCCTATCCTGCTTTAATTCTCTTCCTTAGAGAACGTGAGACAGGACAAGCAACCTTGAATCGAACTCGATGGAACACCTGTCAAGGCGACCTGCGCTGTCGTCGAGAGACCATTTATGGAAGGACCATGGTGCTACGATGGCCGCAAACAACTGATCACGTTCCTTCTGAAGCAACACCTTATCGTATCCGTGAATTCGGGCAGGAAGATGGGATGCCAGCTTGAAGAACAAGCGGCTGCAGATCCACTCCCGCCAACAGTACATCGCGGCCACGATCATGGTTTTTCTGGACCACGAGCCGTCCTGCCCACCTGAGAATCGTCGCGATTGTGCTCAAGATTCTGTCAGGACAGTGGACGAAAGACGACAACACCTTGGACCCATTGAAAAGCAAGGCTGCATCTTCAACACATTATGTGCATCTAGACATCCCAGGGGTCAGGACACACTCCTTATTTGCTTCGGGACGACATCGGCATGTATGCAGTATGCAGAAGTAATTTGCAACCGAGCTGCTAAAAAATTGTGTTGGATCCTCGTTCTGTACCCCGCATATGAACAGATATGCGGTTGTAGCTGCGATGATGCTGCTGAATGACACCTTCCGGGATCGGGAGGCCACAGGATGAACGGGATCTACAGTAGTGCACATGGCGAGCAGCGGTGTGCAGCCAGACCTAACAATAATTTGCAGTATGTGGCTTGTTGTAGCTGCCTCGATCTGGCGGAAAGTTCTCTCCGCTTCTATGCTTTTGTTGCTGAGAGCTCGTCGCGGGACGCGTTTCCCTACCACATCGAAGCCACTTGAGAAGCTTGAGCAAGATTGTTCTTGGCGGTCAGGCATCCTCGGCCCAGTGCGGGCATGCCTGCGTCATCTGAACGTGGAGTCGCATGGGCTCGCCAGCACCAGACTTGAAGCACATCTCCACGTAAACCTAAGCGTCGCACAAATGCAAACTTTTCAGCAAGCCGCTTAGCAAAGCTCCGAGCTTCGAAACCAGCAACCAGGATGTACTTGGCAGGTCCATGGTTTGGTGCTACGAAGTTCAAGATCATGGAGGAACTGCGAAGCCCGGATTGCAAAATGTAGCGCCCCTTTGCTTCGTCCTGTGAGATAAGCACATGGGTCCCCAAAACATCGGCTTCAACAGAAGGCAGAAGGGACAGGACTTGAAGGCAAAGGATTGCAGGGTCACACTACGAGGATGAGACGACCGTACACCCGACCTTCGCGTCTTGAAGGCCGCTCGCTACATTGGCTGTGCTGCCAGGCTTCTGAGCTGAGCACGGAGAGGGTTACCTGGCCAGAGACAGGTTGAGGGTTAAGGTCTTCTGTCCTTCTGAGGCATTGAGGGCTCAGTCACTGCTTGCCGGTGAGATGTCTATGATGTGTGACACTCTAGTGAGGATTGCTGCCCTCTCGTGCTTCTAGCAAGCAGTGCCAGCCATTAGTGCTTCCATCCGCCAGACACAGCGGCCCAAACCCACGGCTCCTCATGTGCTGGACTATACAACGTTGCAGTGACCGTGGGCCTTGCACATTGCAAAGAGCACACCGGCAAGCTGCTCCTGGGAAACATGAAATGCGCTGGGCATTGCCACTCTTTTGCTATCATCAGTGCGACTTGAGAGCCGTGTCGTGAATCTGATCAAGCCAAACGGCCAAAGCATCCCCAACTTGCAAGGTGGGACCTTCGACTGTAGAGTCTGCATCCGAACTCATCTACGGCAAGACCTTCGAAAGCTCCTGCGCCTCATCTTCCGGCATGGGAGAGTGGCGCTTCAACTGCGGTGTGGTGGGGGGAAGAAGGGGCGGCTTGTGGCGTCTTGAGACTCAAAAATGCCCTGACTTACTAGGACCTGCCAATTCAGGGCGAGTTCGCCATTTAAGCATGTGTGTGCATCTCACGAATGCATTTCACGATCTACTGTTACATGCAGTGTCTGATTTGTCTACATCAACAGCCCCGACAGCCATGCAAATGTAGAGTAGTGTTGCAGATGCAGTACACCAAATAGCATGAGCTCGTAAATGTGTTGAACTCGGCAGAAGAGGTTGGGATTTGATTGGAGTCCCTGCAGCGTAAGAGGTGGAATCAGTGATATCGCGACATCCAAGGGCAAAACATCTCCATCAACATCATATGCCAGGTCTAACTGACAGAACATCACTGGCACCCATAAGGCACAGTAAAGCACATGAGGCATGAGCCGATGGCTCGCACCGTTCACAAGTCCTGCCTGCAGATGTCTTTGCGAGAACGATGTTGCAAGATGAGCTTGAAATAAAGAGGAGCCCAAATCGGGCAATCGCAGCACATATGCAGCTACGAAGCTATAAGGGATCCGCTGCCTGAACACGCCCAGATATTGTTGACTCGGTTGACTGTACTTGCGGTCTCCTCAAAGTTGACGTCAAGATCTGTTTGCACTGGATGGCAGCAGAGAACCGTGAAGGAGATGGCTCCATCCGGCTCTTCTGATCAAGCACAATTCAACAACCGGAAGAAACTTCGATCAGCTCCTCATAACACCGTTTGGTTGCTTCCGCTTCTCTTTGCAGGGAGCTTGAGGAAAGAATGCTTCCTGCGATTTGCTTTACAGACAGAACCAGAAGTTTCGCAACCAGGCAGCTCAAGCGACCAACCGACAAGACTGAGGCACAGCAATCACAGAAGCAACTCTCAATAGAATAATAAGAAGCTGCGAACCGGACCAGGCCTCTGCCGCAACTACGGCAATCAGCATGCAAGCAGAAAGAGCAAGAACAAGGAACCAGGGACGCGACAGCAAGCTTGGAGTGTTCCGCCGACTCTCCGACAGGGTAGCTCCTGCAGTCTACAATCCCAGAACCTGTCGATCACATCGGAGGCCGACGGGAATGAACTAAGCGTTGCATGCATAAAGCGGGCTTAGTGGAAGGACGTGCAACTTCAGATGACCTTTTGGGCACGAAGATACGTTTTCAGTCGCTCTGTTGTCAGTTCCCGGCACGCTCACAACGAGAGGAGTTCTCCAAGGGTTATTCCACTGAGGTCTTATGCTGGTCTGCTTTCATTCTATAACTCGGGACTATGAAAACACGAGCTGCATCTGCTGAAATGTCCGGACTATGCTTATCACCAGTATTGTTCTTATCTTTGTTATTCTACTATCACTGTTGTTACTATTGTCATTATTGTTGTCGGCAATCCATGAAGTGATATTTTGGCTCCACAGGACCGGAAAACACTTCGTCCGAGCGGCTGTGATCTGGAGGCTCTCATGATGCAGCCGCCACTCGAAAAGCCGCTCAGCGTTTGGCCGCGACTCATCAGGAGTCATGCCTGAAAGCGCACACTACTATATGCTTCTAGGCTATAATCTGCTATGTTATACTACCTTATCTATATTCTACTATGCTGTAGTATTTTGCTATATGTCTTCATTACGTCATGGCCAAATGTGTTGCAGTATCATGTCGTATGTACACTAACTTATTTCATCTTACGTCTTAAACACCTATGCTGATGTATAACATGTTGTGCTACATGCTGCTACACTGTCTTATACTGTATCATCCTATGCTCCGTTACATTACACTAGATCATATATGATGCTATCTTATACGTGAGGTATTGCAATATGTTATACTGTGCGATACTGTGCTGTGTTGCAGAAATATACTATTTCGTATTGCATTGTGCTGCATTAATTATGCTGTATTGTGCTATGTTGTAGTATTTATGCTATGCAGCAATGTTAGAATATGACATAGTCTATTGCATTACAAGGCTTTTGTGTCAAATTCTTGTCTTTTCGATCCCACTAGATTATAATGCCGTGTATTGTCATCAGTGTTGGCGTGATTGTCTTTCTGGATAAATTGTTTGCCTATTGTGTTGCTGTTATGATGGTTTTCGTCAGTGCCAGTACCACTGTCATGATCATGGTTGTCATGATCTGTCAAGGTTAACTGTCTGTATTGTTCTTCCTATTGAGCCGTCATGATTATGATCATTTCTAGTTCTCAGTATATTTGAAGGTATGTTATCGAACTCAAAAATCGAGGCCTATTTGCTGCCTTGGCACAGTAGGCCATGCAGATGAAGGAGAGGCAGGCAAGAATACCTGGGCAAGCAATGGGCATCTGAAGGCTAAACTCCAACTTTTGCAAAGTAGATCTTGGGGCGAAGCCGTGTCAGGATCAGGTTCAGTATTCTGCCAGAGCGTAAGGTTTTTGGCTTCAAGGTCGAGGGTTCAGGCCTCCTGGGAGCGATCTGCCCTGTACCTACAATGACTTCAGCAAACCACAAACATCCGAAATCCAAGCTGAATGAAGGAGAATCCGAGCACCTTGTGATCCCGGCCCTGTGGGATCTGCAACGACGAACCAAACTGCGGGAGCTAAATGTCAAATGCCTGAATGCTTCGAACTCTCAGCCCTAAGGCAGAAGGGCTTCTGAGGTCCGGACCCCACTGGAGGCCGCTCTGCCGCAGCCCACAAAAAACCCAGGCTGCAGCGGCGCTCGAGAGAAGGCGGCCCTGCGCAGAAGCGAAGCTCCTAAACTACACAGAGTGAAAAATGGAAAATTGCAGCGTTAAAAACTACAATAGCAATAACAATGATATTAATACTACTACTAATAATAATCATAAAATAACAGCAATAATTAATACTAACACTATCAGCAACAACCTGTCGCAGCAATAGTAACAAGAGGGGGGTAAACGAACGATACGAACAGTAATTTAACATTAATAACATTATAGAATAGGTCTAAGGGCTTCTAGTCATAGTCACAATAATAACAACAGTCATTAGCAATGACGATAGGTTATATAGGCTTTGAGCTTGGCGTTGGATGCACTTGTCAGTTTGCTATGCACTGCCACAGGGTACATTGCTTCACGGCTACCTTAAAATTGACATTGCACAGGTGCAAGAGATCGCAGGCTCTGAGTCAGCATGTTGAAAAGCCTTGCTCTGAGGTGATAAAGTCTCAGGTACGCTGCAAATGCAATGGTTTCGTGCTGCCAGGCAGAGCGATGTCGTCCGTCACAAGCCATTGCATCTTCACTGCATTGGGGCACACCGGAAGTTGCATCTGATTATGTGGCAAAGATATAGATTCGACATGATTCGACTCCCAGCCCTGCAATCTGCGTAGGACGGCAGTCTGGGATGAATGTCTCTTCCCAACTGCATGAGAAATCTGCCCAGCCGTGCCTGGCTCAGCACTCCGTACGTTGCAGGATCCATTCGGGCTACGGCCATGACCTGCTTCAGATGGCGGCTTGCAATGCAGGCGTTAAGTCTTAAGAAAACATGAACAGATCTGAGCTACGGTCCCTAAAAAGGCCGTTCAGACCAGGAGCAATTTTTGTTGAGGGGCTCCATGAAGGTGAATGGCCGACAGGCAATGCGGTTGTGATGTCTGCGGGGTGATGCTGTGCCCAGTACAGGCAGGAAGGATCTTTCAGAGCTTGTGTCCACAGAACCGCCGAACACCCCAACAACTCTCGGAACATTCTCAAGCTTTCAGGCTCTTGAGCAGTCTTCATGTTGCAGGTATGTTTGCAGTACGGATCAGCTACAACCGCCTCGCAAGCATCAGCCATGGCCCAACCAATGCCCGCAGGAGCGAACGTCAAGATCGAGCGCAAGTCGAAACAACGCCTTCCGGAGACTTGACCGCTTCTGGAGGCAGCGAGTGACTAGGAAGAGATTTCTGGACATTTCGGTCTTGGTGTGAAAGGTCCGGGCTTTGCAAAAGCAACTCCGTGAGTTGAGAGTAATAGTAGTACTTTTTACATCACCATTCAGCTTTACTATTGCTACAGCAGTGTTCTTGTTAGCATTAGAGACTGTGAATCGAGGGCCTGGCCCAGACTGCTCCGAAAACGGACAGCGACACAGCGTGTGTCATCCCAAAAGCGAGGGCCTCACGTGCTGCCGACCCCCTGTGGCGGCACTCAGCAGCAGGCCCACTGTTGCGATGAGCAACCAAGAAGCCTTAGACTCGACGTGACTCGGGAATTCTCGGAGAGGAAGAGTTGGCGCCGCAGGCATTGTGAACCGCAGGTCTGAGCCATGCTAGCGCATGAAAGCATTATATCATATTATATTATATTATATTATATTACATTACATTATATTATAATATATTATATTATATCATATTATATTATATTATATTATTTTTTGTAGGCTTCTCTGAAGCATCCGGCCAGGGGGCCACAATGACTGAGCCCTCCTTGAAGGGACGTCCTGAAAGGGGCAAAGCTAGGAGAAATGTGGTCTGCGCGGCGTGCGGTTCGCCGCGAGCGGTTTCCTTCTTTTGCTTCTTTGCCATTCTGAGACTGGCATGGATACCCGCATATCAGGCGGATAAAGCTACAGAAGGAGGAGGTTCAGGGCTTGCATTGCATGCACAGAAGGCTTCAGACCGCGGCCTCAATTGAAATCGGGGCCTGTGCGAGTTTGGCCCACATTACCCACATTCAAGAACAAGGATTGACAGTGTCAAGATGAGGCAACATCAACTCCACCTCCAGAAAGTGTGGGCGCTGACGCCCGCTTCGGACTCTGCAACAGGAGACCAAGCTCCAATATCAACTTCGAGTCGCCTTTGATTGCCACACCGTCGGCGCTGTGGCCCACAATCTTCGCCCAGGACCTGAGCTCAACAACGCTAGGCTTGGGCTTTTGGCAGCTAGAAACACCACATCCTCAACAATCCTGCTCACCTCAGGGCTTTTCGGGGAAGTGGTGGGGGGAACGATGAAGCGGGCAAGCAATGAGAGTTGCGAAACCTCCGACTCTGCCCTCAAGAGATCCGCCGAAACGTGGAAGCCATGTGGCATCTGACTGCCAGCCTGAACTCAAAAATCTGTATATCCCAACTCATCGACTCCAAACTCCTCAACGCCGTGCACCCATGGAAAACAAAAGATGGACCCGAAGCTCTCCTGGTCTTGACTCTTGGAGCCAACTCCTTCAGCCGCAGGAGCACGGTGAGTGGGCACGCTGCGTAGGTGCCGACCTCCGGAGCTCCGGGTTTGGAGTTGTGCTCAGGGTTTAGGGTTTAGGGAAGATGACGGCTTCGGATTGGGCCCTTATAGGGTGTCAGAGGGACTCAGCGATATGTCGCTGTGTCAGGTTGCATGAGGCAACCCAGCTGGCAGCCGCACGGGCTTGAATGCGGCTGGAGCAACCCAGGCGTGCAGCAGAACATGGTAAAAGCCACGGATTGCAAGAGGCATTTGGCTGGGGACGTCGAAGCCTAACTCAAGGATGAAAGCACCTCCAAATGCTACCCCAAGCTTTGACTGTGGCCCGCGCGACCAGCAGAAGGGTGACTGCCTGCCTCGGCAGGAGGGACAATGCAAGTCGAAACGAGTTCGTTATGTGTTCTGTAACATGTGTGATACACTATATGGTATCTTAGATGTTGTATGTTGCATGTTGTAGGTTATATGGCATTCTATGTGTGTATATACAGAGGATGTATCTTACATGTGTAGTACGTATATTGTATGTCTATTTGTTTATATTGTATATCGGGATGCTCAGGCTCGGGACATGTCTGCCCGTGAGGCCTGCGGCCTCAAAATAGTGCAGCCAGGCGGCACGGCCAGCCCCAGCTGCGTTTGCAGCCGCTGCCAAAGACGAGGATCTTTGGCCTCTCAGGGTCGCTTCAAGCTGCATGGTATACAACAATATCATATGCAATATGACATAATGTACTACTGCATAACATAACGTTACATCATGTGATATTGTAACATGAGTTAATGACATGTAGTATTTTGTTGAAGGCTGAAGCCTTCTGATTCTGATGGTGTCTGCGAGGCAGCTCGGAGAGCCTTAACAACTGCAACTCTCTCGTTTCATGCTTTTTGGGGTTGAGTTGCATTGCAAATTGTGAACAAATATGGGGTGCCTTGTTTAGGGGTCGTTACATTCGGGTCCTACTCTAACCTGACCCCTATAACCCTATAAACATCGCCCACTGGGTCTGAAGTCAGGTCTTTCCTTGGAGACCGAAGTGCGAGACACCATTTTGGGGATTCCTTACTAAAAAAAAAATATATATATATATAGAACATATGTAAAAAAAATAATGGGCCCCAAAACCCTATTCTAATTCTTAAGGCCCCTACACTACGACTCCCAAAGCCTTGAGATCCGACTCCATCTCTGGACTCAGCATCCAAATCTTCCTCCGCAGGGCGGCTCAGAATTTAGAGCTCTGGGCTTCAAGGTTTTGAAGGCTCCAGTGGCTTAAGCAAAACTCAAAGCTTCATGTGAAAAGGGGGTGTCGCGCAGAGATGGAAGACGGAGTTGGCAAATGAGCAAGTATGAAACTCCAATGTCGGAAGAACTTGACTTATCTCCCTCCCTAATGTTTCAACACGTCATAGCCGTGTGGGAACAACATGCATCCGAACTGTGCCATTGCTTGGAAAACGTCCAACTTCGGAGGGCCCAAACATCCTAATTCCAGAATTACCTGAATCAGTGTTGTCGTCGACATCACATGATGGTTATTGTCATCATTGTCACTGCTAGTCCTCGTATTACTACTTGTTGTTTTGTATTACTACTATTACCGTAATTCCCAGCAGAGCCATAAAGCCCTTTCGCAAGCGGAGTCCAACTCCGCGCCTCGGGGAGCGCGGGTCGAAGGTTGGCCAAGAGGCGCAACCTTCGTCTGGGGGTTTGGGGTTTAGGGAGGGATTTAGATGGTAGGATCCTTATTATAGGATCCCAAAATAAGGTACCCCTAATTTTCGGAAACTCCCAAATAGAAGAATGGATTCAGGGTTTTTGGGGCGTCTGAGATCCACCCCTGTTTATCGTGTGGGTAGCTCCGACCTCAGGAAGGCTATTGCGTCAGCGATAGGTTGCAGAGGTGTATGATGAAGCATGGAGCACCTGGTTTCACCTTCCGGGCATCAATGCGGGAGTTTCCGAAAATAGGGGACCCTAATATAGTACCCCAAATAGTAGGATCCTTATTATAAGGATCCCAAAATAAGGTACCCCTAATTTTCGGAAACTCCCATGCCAGACCCTGAGGGGGGTTTTCAGATACAAGCTGCCTGCAAGTCCGAAACAGCATGAAGATCGCATGCTCAGATCTTCTACCAATGAAAGTCTGGCCAGGCAGCGCGACATCTGCGAAGAGTCGAGGCGTTTGCGGGAGGTGGTATGCTGCACCTTCAAGAGCAGAAGAGTAGAGTGATGCAGGGGAGGCCTGGCCACTGACGTCCGAAAATATCAGGTGCACCGGAGAGAAGAAGTCTGCAGGCGGTGCGGAGACTTCATCGCTGACGAGGTCGGACACCTGTCCGTGGATGGCAATTCTGTGGCCCAGGGGATTCCCAAAACGCTGCAATCACGAGGCACCTCGCCGTGGGCACCGCTGGCGAGTCCGGTTCTCCACTGCAGGTTCCTCGCGCGTCGACATTGAGCTACCACTTTCAACCAGGTTCTCGCCATTGATGGCACCGAAGCCCTACAAAAGACAAGATGGATGTGGAAGCATGACACTTGGAAGGATGCGAAATGTGGGTCAGGGGCGGGCAGGAGCAAGATGGAGCCCATACAGAGTATCACAAATCCACGCAAAAACAAAAAAACAACAGCCGAAAATCAAGACCCAGGCTCGAAAGGTGCGAATGACGGCAAATTCGAAAGAAGGAACGGCTGAGGCAATTCATGAAAACATGTGGCACAATCTGGGCGGGTTCCCTTCCTTCCTTCCCTCCTTCCTTCGCGTCCTTCTTCCAATTCAGAAGTTCTTCGGGCTTCATCGAGAATGGACAGGAAAATCTCAGGAAAACACCGCGAAACATCCACAAGTCAGAAGACTAAGAACTCCCGGGCCAGTCTGCACATCACACAGCCTGAAGACATCCTCCTCTGCCTGTTTCTGCTTCCAGGCACAATCGCGCCTGCCTTGTGCACCAAAAGCCGACTTGCCCCTTTGAAGCAACCCTGTCCTGTGCCGGTACTCAAGCCATTCTGCTGGGTCCTTCAGTCATAAGCGAAGCACATATTGCTGACTTCACTGAGGACCCCAAATCGTTTGGAAGCCTTGCAGTTCCCGATTCCCAAGTTCTGGACTCCACTCCAACACCTTTTGTCCGAGATGCATCCACGCCGTCCAACATGAGTGCAGACCTGAGCACATCCCTGCGATTCGAGCTCAGGGCTGAACTTGCAGAGATTTAAGGCCCAGGACCAAGCACGGTGTGACATGTAAAGACATAAGAAGCATCACTGCGATCGCGGTCACTGCTACCAGGTTGCTTTGTCAGCAGCTCCCATAGTGTCTTGAGATGTCCAGCCTTGCGAAACATGCCGAGCGCGTATTTTTGCAGCCTTCGTAGCTTTGCGGCATTGAGGGTTGTCCACGTGGCAAGTAAGTGGTGATGTGGATCAACCGTAAAGCAGGACTAAGCCGAAAGCTGCCGAGTCTTCAAATGCTGCTCCCTTCGGACTAGCACCACAGCGTTGCTTGTTGACTAATACTGATACTGATACTAATACTAACGCTGATACGAACACTAGACCATGACATGATATAATACATTCCTGTAGCTGATTCTGCCTGGCTTTGCTCAGTGTGATCTGCCAGCGCTTTGGAAGAGGGCTTCTTCGACCTGAGTTCCCGAGGCGGAGAGGAACATTACTTTAGGTTAAAATAGATGACAGTGTGTTCTGTCATGTTATGCTACATTATATACTAGGTTCAGCTCCGCAAAGCCTGTAGGCTTCAGTTTTCTGCCAGAAGGGACTTCACGGTTCGAGGCCTGAACCATAGCTTTGGTGTTTGATCCTCACGCCAGATGATATGTCTTTCCAGTGCGCAGGCCCGCTGATGTGCGGCTGGCTGTTTCTGACCACTTTTGCCAGACCCCTGTCTCCAGCGAGTACTCCGCAGGCGACTTTTCTTCATGCGTGTGACAGGAGCTCAAGGGACCTTTCCAGAACAGCCGGCATGGCAGACGCATGCAACTTGCTGCCGACATGCAACTGGTTGCAAGCACCTCGTCGTTCCACCCCTGCTTGAAAACACTTCATCTGAGTGGCATCTTTCTCGCCATGGACATGGAAAATCGATCACACAGGTGCGCAGCAATTCAGAAGCTGGTGGGTATCTGTGCATGTAGCCTTATATGGCCCATGACTTAAACCTCCCGGTCTGCACGTTCGCATGCTCCTTATCGAGGCTACGAGGGCTTGTGGACGCCTCATTCGTTTTGAGCTGCCGTTAGATAGTGGGGTAGAGACGACATGCACTGTGCTCCGTCGAAGGATCATGGCTGTCATCGCAGTGGAAGATCGCTAGCAACTGCAAGCCAAACGGCAAGCCCAGGAAGACGCTACATGCCTCCATTCTTGCAGGAGTGTGTGGAGAGCCACCGTTGTCATGCTTTGTCGGCTACAATAGCACTGCAGCAAAGCTGGGAAGCGCAGGACTCTTTTCGCAGCTCCGTTGGTTGAAGTCTTCAGATATGTGCACTACAAGGCCTCTCTTTCAACCGAGGTCATCAGATTCATAACATGCACACATTGGGAGCTCTTGAGAAACCTTAGGTTGTAACCCAGTGGCCAAAGCGAATGGAGCGAATGGCGAGTCCTCTTTGGACTGGCCTTTTGATCTGGGCTCCTCAAGCATCGAAGCGCTTCGGGTCGAACTTCGCGATCATGCGCTGCTGCAGCTCTGTTCGATCCTTGGACGTGGTGCTTCGTGGCTGGAGGAACGGTCTTGACACAGGCAGTAGCTCGCTGGTGTGGTCTTCACTCGGCTTGCAAGCCTACTAGATGCGACCGCACCCTTGGACCCTTGGAATCACAAATAAAAGAGCCCTCTGTCCGGGAAGACCAATGCTACGTAGGAGCCGCCGATCCAGCCACGAGGGCGGCGAGCAAGTCAGCGACTGCAGGTGCAAACCTTCGCATGTTTTGTTTAGGAAGTCTGATTGCTCCATGTTCACGTTCTTGTGCAGGGGCACGTCGTTTGAAAGCCTACAGCCAGTCTTGGCAGCCTGCCGTGACTTTTGCTATGACTTCGCAGCGCAGGATGTGCTGTTAGCAGCCCAGAGAAGCCAGGATGCGTCGTCGCACACATCGTTGGAACAGTGCCACTGCATCCTGGCGTCCCTTCGTTTTCCTACATGTAGCAGCAGATTGACGCTAGATAGCATTTCCAACTTCCTACTCGTCTCCATGCACCTTCTATGATCACGTTTGAAGGTCCGGGGTCAGCAGAGGAGCTGGAACCCAGAGCCGCTGAAGCCACAGGCCAACACCACGCTGCGATCCTCAGAGAGGCCGGTTTGCAGTCGAAGGTGTCTCTCTCTGAGGGCATCAGTCTCAGTGACTGGACTTGGCCTGTGGACACGATGACAGACTCGTGTACGAGTCTTATCTAGCCTGCCTTCTATCGCTCGATACCTCCCACAATTCCAGCCACTTGCAAAGCACAGCCATGGGAATCGAACCCTCAAGGCAAGCCCAGTGCAACCGAGGACACATCAGGATGTCGCCCCACAATCATCTGCAAGTCTGGAGTAAGTTGGTACAAACACCGCATGTACCTGATTTCGCCGCCCCCACACAAACACAATGAAAGCCTACTCTGGGTCGGGTTAGTTCGTAGATGCTATTCAGGCTCCGCACAGACAAGCAACGCCTCGACCCAGAACATCTTTGGCCAAGTGTCCCGACTGGGTGATCTGCATCCAAGCCGGGCATCTTGGCCTTGATAAAGGCCTGCCATGGGCTCTGTTTGGGTGTGGCCCGCAACTCGTCCCTCCGTTCTGCCTTGATCTTGGAGAGTGAGAACTCGTCGCGGTGGTACTCCTGGAGCCCATCTTCCCAAGCCCATCTGGGATCACAGTCCGCTCCAACTCTAGCATACTTCGGGCCCGGCCCTGGGGAACAAAACAACAGGAAGAGAGAGAGGCTTACTTGGAGGATCATGGAACTTAGTAAGTAGGGTTATAAGTACCTTAATAGGGTTATAAGTTATAAGTAGATATAACTATACTTGAGAGGGTCAGAGTCGGGCCCTTGGTTGCCCGGTTGCTCTGGCCCCTGCAAGAGGCGCGGTCCTGCTCCGTCCGGAGTTCCTGCGCAGAGGCAGAGCCAGAGTTTTATGGAGGCGGCCATGCTCCAAGCAAAGCGCTTCCCAAATCCGAAGGGCTCGATGGCTGTGCCGTATAGCGGATGATGTTTGGGGTGACTGGGTCCGCGAGCACTCACTCAAGCAGCCGGCCTTGCGAATGTTCGGCAGCTTATCCTGCGTCAGCCAGCAAGAACACTGAGATGTCATTGAGTGGCGACATGTTAAGGTCCTACATTCCCATAGCCACAGTCAGGTCATGTAACGCACAGCGCCCACAAGCCGACCTTCGAGGCGCGACCCGACTCTGTCACGACCTGACTGGCAGACAACAGCCGTCCGCGTACTCAGGGTGCAGAAAATTAAGAGTAGCCAGCCGTGAACGAGCACTCGCCCTGACTTTGTTCCTTGACCACCTAACAGCCGCGCGCATCAGGACTGTAGCAATAGACTGAAGCCCCTCAGCACTTCAGTTCAGCACAAGACGCAGTCTACTTTACCTCCGGCCCAATGCACCAAAGTAGCAAACTCGTCTGTGTCCAGAAGAGGACCCTGCCGGTGAAAGCCGACCTTCCTCGGAGCTGATCACAGGAGACGATCCGAGGTGCTAGTCTTGAAGATTCAGACTTGCAGGATCTCTGGTCTTGTCCATCACAGCATGCAAAACCATTCGTAAACGCAGCAGGAGTGTATGTGCGTGTATGTGTGTGTGTGTGTGTTGTGTGTGTGTGTGTGTGTGTTGGTGTGTGTGTGTGTGTGTGTGTGTGCGTGTGTGTGTGTGTGCGTGTGTGTGCGCGTGTGTGTGTGTGTGTGTCTCTCTCTCTCTCTCTCTCTCTCTCTCTCTCTCTCTCTCTCTCTTTGCGTGCTGGCCCAAAACCTAGCCCAAGCCCTTAACCAGAGAACGGTCCTAACCTCCGAGAGAAAGGGGAGATCATAGCAGATTTATAATACTGCAGCGAGCTCTCAGGAATTGTGCTACTAGTTGCCAAGGCCCTGGACATTGTCGGTTAAAACGGAGCCAAGGAACCCCAAGACTTATCGCTTGTAAGAATTCGCCTTCGCTGGTCTCAAATGTTCGCACAGCAACACTCCCTGCGATCCACTGCTCGCGAGCGGGCAATGCGGCGTCGTGTAGAAATAGAGACCTTGATGCTGTGGGGCTGTGAGGAAGGGCTACGTCGAGTCGAAATCGGTGCATATCGGTAATTAGGGCTGCTTCTTTAGTGTTCGTTTCAGCTTCGTCACCCAAAAGGTATAATCCAGTTTACCTTCCAATGACAGGAGGAAGTAGACTTCCCCCAAGCTCAGAAAAACTGCGGCTGAAACTCCTGCAAAGATGTTGCACGCTTGCAGACCGCTCAAAGAGAAAATGGGGTTAGAGAGGTCGAAGGACTGCTGTGGAAAGGCCTTGACATGTGTATCACACACACACACACATAAATACATGCAAGCATGTATGCAAACGAACATGCAGTGGTACACCCAGACACCCACCCACCCGCATGCAACGTATACACAGACGTATACATGCATACAGGCACATTTGTGCAACATCGCTCGACGCACGCTCAGATTTTAGTTCACATTCTGTACTATACAAGCGCACATACACGCATGGCTACATATGTAGATACAGGAGTTATCTTTACGCACATGCATACAACATCATACATCTGCAAAGGTAGCGACACATTCGTCCACAAGTGAAAAGCCTCAGGAACAATGGACGGGTGGCTATACGCAACAGTGAACGCTGATAAGAGGATGGAGCGGCTGGGGTGGGCGTGTGCTTCGCCTTTTCGGCTTTTCCGGACAATCCAAGTAATCCAAGCCCTCGTTCAAAATCGTTCGGTGCCGAAGCGGCATCCACCATCTTCATTGCGTCCTTGCCAAGTGGGCCAAGTGCGGAGACTGGAGATAAGAGCATGTGAGGGTGTTCGATTAAACAGCAGCCGCCTTCATAGACAACAAAACCCAGAATGGGAACCCGCTCTGTCAAGGCAGGCCTTTGTAACCAGCTTCGCTCCATGTGAACAATGGCAGATCAGACCTGGGTTTGTGGAGCACGACGCAAAGCTGGGGAGACAAAGCCGGAGAGAGAGAGAAGAACAAGCATGAACAGACTGCCAAGGAACGATTCAACAGACAAACACCAACAGGATCCAATGGCTAACATTGGCTAACATCCACTGACATCCGCACAAGATAAAGTCTGCACGTGTTGGCGAATTGCTGGCTAATATGGAAAGCGGCGGCAAAGATCGAAGATTCCACCAAAAGAGCAATGCGTCTGAGTAGCCAGTCGTGCGACGGGGCACCCACCTGCAGAGGGATCGGTGGGTCAAACGGTAACAGGCAACGCGAAAGACAACCTTGGGATACACTCTAGCACAGTATCATATACGATAAATATTACTGGTATTTCATACTATGTTATGTTACAGTCTTGGTATACTGTATCATAAAAGTCTGCAACGAAGCTTTCTTTAGTCAGTTGAGACAAGCAGCCCGTCCTTAGGCTGGAACTCCACAGTCTGCTCGTTCGACACTATCATCCTCAGATCATCGCAAAACGTTCTCTGAAACGCCCTGCCGAAAATTCGTTTCACCATCCTCTGTATAAGGTTACACGGCTGCTCCGAAAACAATTAGTTTCTTCCCAGCTGCGGGACACCACGCAGGCCGGCACCTCCAGCAGAGAACAAGCATTCACCGGATCCAGTCAGGGTCGGCGGACCCAACAGGAGTGAAACCCCGTGCCCTGTCTTCTGAAGCGTGGAACCAAATGGAGCAGTTGCCCTTGTGCACGGTAGGGTATGCTAGCGCAGATTGACGGTCCGAGCACCAACACATGGGGAAAAGCATTTTTACTAACATATTGGGGGAAAAACATTTTTTTCTACGAACATATTTGGAAAAATAGTTCTTCCCCAATATGTTATGTTAGTAGAAAAAAACTTGTTCCCCAATATGTTAGTACCTTTTGGCTGACCTATCGGAGTGGCCCCACCCTCAAACCCAGAACCGCAGCACGACTACAGCAAGCCTCGGCAAAACCCTCGGAGCCATCAAAGAAAGCCCAGGTTTCACCTTTGCCCGCAGGGGGGAACCGCAAAAATCGCAGTGGTCGCGTGAGGAACAAATCTCTTCGTGAATTCTGGGTCTTGTTCGAACTTTTTCCCGGCCTACACCTCGGGTAGTTGTCGAGGCGCCAGACAGAGTCAGTGCTAAGATCTGGAGTCAACATGGGCCTAGGGATTTCAGGCCTTGCCCAACAAGCTGCAGTCAAAGTATGCATCCAGTCTCAGTTTGGCAAAGCTTTGGCCTTGGAGAATCCGATTCGTCCATGGACCAGCTGTGATCACGACCTGACCTGATCTGCTTCTCGGTCACTCGGGCCAGGCAGTTTCTCTCGATGAGGCTGTCAGAGCACAGACAGTCTGTCTTCGCCAGTGTCAAACCAAAGCCCAAGGCGACAGTCAAAATCATGTGAAGTAATACCATGATGGCAGTCCACGGAGCTGAAGCGCAAGCTTTGCTCGTTGGTGATCACCATCTTTCGACGCAGGTCGATGCTGACAACCTCGGGCCATGGCCAAACACTTTGCAAGCGCAGGTTGAGACGTGACCGGGCCACTCTGGTATCTGCTGAGTGCGCCGGGACATCCGAGATCCTGGCCGAATCCTCCCGATACTCGGCGCCAGCCGCCTGAAACCAAACATTGCTGCTTGTGATGCAAGGCTTTAAACATGCAAACCACAGGTGCTTGAGCCCAGCTTGAGTCAGGGTTTAGGGTCTCAAGTCGAAGGCCACGCACCAGCACGCAGCAGCATCTCTCTCGAACAGTTTAGCATCAATTCGTTGCGATAAAGCAGCGAGCTGCTACAAGGCCCCGCAGGGATGCTGAAAGCACTGCTGGGTATGGTCAAGCCTCGTTCCGGCATCTGCCCGTTGCCGGCGTTTCTGCATGATGCTGTAAGTCCGCCACAAAAATAAGCTCGAAGTGCCAAGACAAGACGACTTGGTCATGAGCACCAGTTGATCCCATGGACCCTCACGACTGCCTTAGCACTGCGGTCACTGTGGGCGTTGCCTCGGCCGCCCAACGAAGGCCGTGGAGTGCTGTTGGCACTGACATCGTGTAGCCCTCGGGCATGTAAAGCAGTTTCCTTGGCGCGTCTATGGATGTATGTATTGTATATCTATGCATATATGTAAGCATGTGTAGATGTAGATATGTACATATGTGAATATGTAAAGTTTCACATTCGCCTGCGTGTACATAGATGTAGCTGCGCGCTTGCATGTATACATGTATACATGTATATTCATATATATATATATATATATATATATACACATAACATTTGTATGTATATATATATATATATATGTATATATGTATATGTATATGTATATGTATATGTATATGTATATGTATATGTATATGTATATGTATATGTATATGTATATATATATATACACATGTATATATATATATATATATATGTATATGCATGTGTATATATATATATATATATATATATATATATGCATATCCATATCCATATCCATATCCATACCATACCCATACCCATATACATACACATACATATACACATACAGATGCATACGCATACGCATACACGTACACGCACACATACACACATACTTGTACAATCTTGTACATATACACTGGCATTGAGGCTTTGGTTTTCGGGTCTGGCTCTTGAGCGGCCCTTTCGGTTTCTGCTTGACTTGATGGAAGCGGAGTCGAGTTTCGAGTTCTTAGTTCGAGCACGGCAAGCCGGTGGTACTTGATGTATACTGGGCTCAGGGTTTGAAGCGTCGCAGGAGCCGCCACAGAAGCAAGGCAACAAACAAACAAACTGAAAACCCTAGACCCTAAACCAATCGTCGGACTCCAGGTTCTTGAAGCCCGGGCTCTCGTTCGGGTCCAGGTGGAGCTGCGGGAAACGCTCCGGAGTTTCGGCGGCTGTGAGGACTTCGACCTGATAAGCTTCCGACAGCAGGACCCAGCCTTGCCTCCATGCAAATAGTAATGGTAATAGTAAGGAGAAGAACAAGATCAATATTTACTATTATTATATTGTATAATGATACTACTAATAATAAATATAATTATAGTAGTAATAACAATAATTATGGCAATAATGATCCCTTTCCACAGATGTGCTCAAAGCTTCACCACAACGCAAGAATGCCGTCATGCTCTACAAGATTGGCAAGCTTCATAAGCCACACTTTTTGCAAAACTTTGTGGCTCGGCACCTCTCCCTGCTTCGTGGGCACCTCACGATGAATCTTCTCGGCCATCGCCTGGACAGCAACACGTCATAGGTTCTTGAAGAACCCGCGTGAACTCTCGTAGCACCCTTGTACTTCCCCTTATAGAGTAACTGTTAGTACAGAACCCTTTCTCAAGACTTCATCGGTCCCTTGGTTCCATGCATCGCGTCGTCAGGGCCTCGACGATGCTTGCAGGCCCTGCCATGAGGCCGCCGGTCCTCAAAGCTGCGCACATGGCAGGGTTGCGATGTAGGCGGATTAAGAGAGGGTACCATAATAGAGTTCCTATAGAGGGGGCCGTTCAGAGACGAGGCAGAAGGGGTTTCAGGGTTTCGGGTACGGGGCTTGGGGTCTCAGTGGGAATGGGAACAAGCAGTGGTCGACCTCCTGAAGACACACACCGGCATGCGAAATGAGTAAGCGCAGAAACTGGAGGTGCAGATCGCAGGGATTCTGCCTTCGGGCTTGGAGTATTGACAACCTCGCGATGCTGCGGTGCTCTCCTAATACTCCTACACTGCGTAGGATGGCACCCAAGCACATCGGACGGGGGGCGTCCTCTTGTAGAAGAACCAATCTGCTTCATCAGGGCCGAACCTGCAAGGTGCGCTTTAACGTTACCGTTGCTATAACTATCGCGATTGTTATTCTCATTTCTCGTACGCAGTGGTCTTATTACTCTTACTGTTACGATGGTCACAACTATCACTAGCAGCTCACTGGTGCTATGACTGCTGCGAGGACTACGTTCATTGCTGTTCTAATTACGACATTACGACTTGATAACCACTGGCCGGGACGAAAGCTCAATACTGGACAGGGTTGGAGAGGCAGGACTCGAGAGACAAACGAGTTGACAATCCAATGCACAAATGGGGTGCAATGTGTTTCTGCCGGATCCAAAAATACATATGCAATGCAGTGCACACATGCCCATGACAGAAACTGCGCTCACAAGCAATATTGCTATCGAATCCAAAAATAGCTTGCAAATAAAAGCAGCAGCATCAGAAGAGGCCCCTTGCTTGTACCTCAACTACTGTAGTGGGGCATAGCGCGACAAGGCCTCAAAAACTCAAGCAACCCACCCCCACCCCCTCCAGTATCCGTGTGGGTTCACATTGCGAGGCATTGAACGAAGCTCCCGGCTAGTGGGGAGCTGTCGTGATTACTCATAGTCTTACTAACTTTTCTTTAGCATCTGAAGAAGAGGTGTTTTCAAGTAATCACAATACAATGAAGGCAGGACGCGCGACGATTTCATTCGCAGGCACGTCAAACTTGGGAGGATCTTCCAAAGGGGCTGCTTCGATTGGACAGGGACGAGCAAGCTGAACAGCAACCCCATTCGCAGGCTGAAGCTCCCATCGCAGTCGGAAGGAACAAGAAAGGCAGCAGGGTCTCGCTGCGTCGCAAGCACGATAGAATTGGTTAGTAGGGAATGGAAGACTGGTAGTAATAGTAGTAAGAATTGTACCCCATTCCTCCATTCCCTACTAGCCAAAGGTAAGATGAAAGCCAGCCACACCCAGCTCAAGGCAATAAATCCTCTAATTCACGCCAGGCCTTCCTCTCATGCGCTCTTGCAAGTCAAGCCAGCTCCTCACGGCGAAGGTGAGGGGAGATACGGCAATACCAGAGGATGCATTATTGTTCTTGCTACTATTGCCAGTCTTGCTTTTATGACAATCATGAACCGTTATTACTCTCATTGCCACTGCTATTACTACAATTCCTATCAGGGGTTTGCAAGGAGATCACTATGAAAGCAAGGGTAGCAGACAGAGCCGTCGAGGATAGCTTCCTGGGGACAGTGTAGGCGTACACTCAGATCATCGCATGTTGAGGGGTTCTTGTAATTTGGGCCCCATCTCGTGGGCCTTGTATTTCGGCTGTAAGATGGAAAGCGCAGGCGAAACAGGAACATGTGTCGCATGCATCTCAAGGTCTGGCAAAGCACTGAGTGGAAACACAGACAGTCTATGAGCGGCTCAGTTTAGGTTGGCTATCTGAACACGCCGATCACGGTTCTGCATATTGATCACATGTGGCAATGCGAGCAAGAGCTCTCGCTGCTACCCTGCGCAGGAGCCTTATCGAAAAGAGGCTCATCTGAAGCAGGACTGGATCCTGCAGCGTGCGTTCAGGTGTGGGTCAGATGGCATGTGCTAGTCCTGTGCCCTACCTTTGCCGAGTCATGACACCGAACAACTTGCATTCCTCCATGCGCAGGTGGCTTGCTCTCGTGGATCCCCAGGAGCCTGCACAGCCCAAAGACGAGTGGGGTCATGGCTCCTCCATGTCCCTTTCGTGCGGTGCTCCTCTAGGCTTCTTCCGATGCAGGCGAGTCCCGAGAAGGGTCTAGCTATAGTCGCCTCGTGGACGGTGGCGTGCTGAGTCGAGTGTGACTTGATGCTCATGGATTCTAGATTCTAGCTGCCCTTAGAAGGCCTTGACTTTGAAGCTAGTGAGGCTCAACACTTCTTACGCGAGTCTGGTGCGCGTTGGGTGGAGGCAGTCACCAAGATGATTCTTCATGAGCCTGCCCGTGAAAAGACATGTGTGCCTCGGATGGGATGGTTCTCGTCCAGCACCACGACGCGGTAGCCGCGCTCTGCAAGCCGAGCTGCGGTGCTGAGCCCCATCACACCGCCTTCAGGCGCCGGTTCGGGCTAATCCCTCTCCATCCCTTGCTCGCTCTCCTCTCTCCCTCTCACTCTGACCCATCCTCTCTCCCTTTCCCGCTCCCTCTCCCTCTTCCTCTCCGTCTCCCTCTCCCTCCCCCTCTCCCGCTCTCCCATGCTCTCCCTCTCGCCCTCTCGCCTTCTCCCTCTCGCTCTCTGCCTCTCGCTGTCTGTCTTTTCTTTCACCAGGCTTGAGGGGGCGAGCCCCCCACCCAGGGGCTGCCCGCTGTTGGCGGCACGCATGGTATTACATGCGACAGGCTACAGCACTGGCAGACAGCCGCTTCTGTGAGAACATGAAGTCTCCCACGTAAGTACTGTCTGTCTCTTCTTCTGCCGGGCGTGAAGGGCGTGCGAGGCCCTTCGGCCCCATGGGCCCCCAATGTGTTATGAGGCGATTTGGAAGGGCGTGAGACAACAGCGAGTTACCCTGATTGAAAAGAGAAGTGTATTGGACTATGAAAATTCAGGGTTCCTCAACTGCTTGTTTCACGTGCATATTGTTTACAGTGCTGATGTCCCCCATGAGTGTGTAACAATCATTGTCCCCCTAAAGTGCAACTTCTGTACTGTAAGCAGCAGGCCGTACAAATATATGAACATCTGGGGGGCATCTAGAAACCGCTCCACGGTTCGCAAGGGCAGTGCAAACATGTTCTTTATGTGGTGGACTCTTTCACAAAGGTGGACCTCAACAACAACTATAGCAGAACATAGCTAACATGAACAGAGTGCCACCGATATAACGGCCTCTCTCTCTCTCTCTATGCCGGGCGTGAGGGCGGGTCAGCGCCCCCGGGCATCGTGCCCATCCGTCGTCTTGACGGCTCTCTCTCTCTCTCTCTTCTTCCGCCGGGCATGAGGAGGTGTTAAGCCCCCTCGGCCACTAGGGCCCCCCCAGATTTTGTGGGGACTTTGGAGGAGTGTGAAAAGGTCTTCGCAGATATTCCCCCTTGGAAGATCATTTCAATAGTACCAGTAAGAAACAGTAAACTGTCAGTAATCCCCCAAGGGACTCCATCTACTCTGTACGTTCGATGGTCCGGATTTCCCCCAAAAACAACCTAGTGAAACAAGTAGACCAAACGAGCAAATGTCCCTGTTTCCCAGACCATCTGTTGTGCTACGTTTGAGGCAAGTTCCCCCATCAACAACAACAGGATATAAAGGGTAAACCATTCACTTCAGGGGTTCTGCCTCGGTGTTTGCTCGACCCCGGTTCGTCGGAAAGAAGGTGATAGTGAATCAAAGAAGCAACGGTAGTTCTAGTCCCCCGGGTCGATCATTCGAAAGTATATGTAGTGCATATATCCTCCTTCCTTTTTGTCATGACAAACAACAGCTTGCAAGATAAAGTAAGTGAGTGCCAGAGCGGTTACAACGGCCTAAACAGTTGACACTTCAGGAGGTATGCAAGTTTGCAAGGGCTTTTGGATGCTCCACATCCCCTCAGTGCTACTAGGTCGGGTTCGAGGTGCCTCCATCAACTGCGCAAGCCAGAAAAACAGCTCGTAAAACCTGTATAAGATCTCAACAAAACCAGCTGAAACACATCTGGAGGGCCTTCGGAGTTATTCTCCCCTCGTGATTGGCTTTTAGTTGCGAGTGGGCATGGTGGGCTCCGAACAAAGCTAGCCTACACCGACACAACAAAAACAGCCTGGAACATGAACAAGCTTCGGATCCCCCATGCTACCCCAACATTAGCCAGCTACCTCCCCCGTGCCATCAGGCCGTCACTTCTGCCATCACTCAGGAGTTCTCGTGGATGTGCTCCCCCAGGATGCGCCGTCGACGGTGGCTCATGTCGGAGCTCGGGCTCGGGCTTCGCGGTCTCACTGTCCCTCTCCCCCGAGGGCTTGGCGCGCTCTCAGGAGTCCAGCCGTGGTAGAGGGCCATATCCCCCATTCCATGGTGTCTGTCAAACCGCCACCATGCGTCCTCTGTGTCGGGCAGTCCTTGTTTCTGTTCGGGGATTTGCCGCGAAATCCCCCGTAGGAAAGCCATGGCTGCTTCCTGCACTTGCGGCAGGCGTTCCACAGGCCACGTGGTGATTCCCCCGGACCATTCTTGGAGCTGGCGGACTGCGTGTTCCCATGCCTCAAGTCCAGGGGGTCTCTCCACCATGTTCGACTCGTGACTCCCCGCGGCCATCTCGACGACGTTCGAGGGGTGGGTGAGGGCATTCCCCCGTAGCAGTAGGTCGAGTGCTTCCGTTACTGCTATCAGCTTTGCCCAGTCCTCTGTTGTCGTCTTGCCGTCGAGGACGTTGTTGAGCGTCCTCCGCAGCGGCTCCAAGATGGGCGGCAGTTGGATCCGCACCGCCACATCCCCCATAGGTAGCTCGGAGAACCATTGCATCAGGGCAGCAACGTGTGGTTCGAGGTGCCCATAGCTAATGCATGTTCCCCCTAGAGACAGCTGCTGACGTGCTATGTTGAGCAGAGCTTTGACTGCTTTGGCGGCTTCAGTGTGAGGTGAGCCCGGGGCTGCGGCAGTGGCAGAGTGTGAAAGTCTTGCTGCTTGGTGGCTGCTTTGCGGGGGTGGTTGGGGGTGTCCCCCCGTCACTGTTGAGTGGTAGTCTTGGGTTGCTGCGAGTTCTTCTGCCGTGGGTGTGTCCACGAGTAGGTGCATGAGTGCCATGTCGGCATTTTGCATGATGGCCTCTGCTGCTCCTCCTCCATACGACTGGATGATTCGACGTATCTCTTCCAGGTGTCTTTCAACCCTCTGCCAGGAGTGCTCTCGGTCTGCGGGTGGAGCTGTAACTGCGGGCTGCTGGCCGTCGTTGTGGTGTACTGTTGTTTGTGCTTGGCCGTGGTTGTTGGTCTCACTGCTGTTTTCCATACTGACATCTCCTGGTGTGGTTGGCTGTGGTTGTGTTGCTTGTGGCTGCGGCATTGTCACAAGACTATCCCCCTCACTGGCTTCTTCACGTCTCTCCTCTGGCGGTAGCGAACCTGAAAAGATGCTTTTTTGCATGAGACTGCTTTGGTCGTCGTTGTTGTTGTTTTGGTCTGGGTCATCAGGTTGCGCCCTGGGCTCGTTGCTCTTTTTGGGACCAATGTCACGCCCATCGTGGAAGAGCGCAGCAAGCGGCGTGTATGGTGGCTTGTTTCGGTCCTGCGTGGGTTGTGGTTGTGGTGGTGGTTGAGCTTGTTGGGGTGAGACTCTGTCTGGTTGGTTGCGGCGCAGCTGTCTTTTGTCGACAAATGCCGGTTGTGCGTTGGCTGTGGCGGCTTTGCTGGTGGGGTCGGTGCTTGTAGGTTCAGTGGTGGGGCTGTTGGCTTGTGTGGTGGCGCTGTTTCGTGACGGTGGGTAGTAGGACCGGGGTGCTTCATGCGATGAGCTTGCTCCAATGTCCATGGGTTGTGCTTCACTTGCATCTTGCTCTTGTATGGTCTGCATTGGCGGCTTGGGGGTATTCTTGGGAATTGCTTTCTTCTGCGTGTCTGCCTTGTGGTGAGTGGGGGCTTGTCTGAGTCGCCGGATATCTGCTGGTGGGTCTGTGGCTAGAGCCTCCACTCTGATCACCCATTCGTTATCGACCTCTTCAAACAGCAGACGGTCGCCCACCGTGAGTAACATGGTCCCGGGCATGTGATTGCCTGGAGTGGGTGCTTCGGTGACCTCGAGCACCCAGTGTGTTTCACTGAGCGGTGTGAAGATGGCCACAATCCCCGCGGTTAGCGGGGGTGCACTCACAGCTGTGCCTTCTTGACCTTCCCTAACGATCCTCGGAAGGCCGCTCGCAAGGGTCTCAGTGGTGGGTTGCTCCCCCATGTTGTTGATGATGGAGACTAGCCATCCCCCGCCTGATGCCTGGACTATGTTGGCATGTGTGTGGCTCTGGATTGGCAGGTCGGGTGGGATGATGCCGAGGTACAAATCTGGTTGAGCGTCTGCCCACTCTTGTTGCAGTTGAGCCTCCCACGGCGGTATGCTGCTATCGTGGTCGTTGGTGCCGGCATCGGCCTGTCCGGTGGCTGCCTCCGGTGGTGTCTGTGGTTGTGGTTGTTGATGGTGTTGTGGAGGGTCGTTGTCTGCCGTGTCGGTGTCGCTGGCATGGGTATGTGTCGGTTGTTGTGTTGGTTGGTGTACCTCTGAGGTCCAGAGTTGCCATGCTTCGGTGGGTCGTGGCTGTTGTTGCTGTTGTGGGTGTGGCTGTGGATCGTCTTCTGTGCCTGCTGCCGCTGCTGATGTCTGATGAGTGTCGGCTGGGTGGGGGTCAGGCCGAGGGGCTCCATACGTGCCCCAGGGGAGGTTGTGGCGGTTGAGCAGGTCTGCCCAGTCTGTGTTGTCTTGCTGGGGCTGTGCTTGGTCTCGGCCTGCCGGTCGGCCTTGTTGTTGTTGTGGTCGCGTGGGGGGTCTTTCCCCGGCTGCGTGCTGTCGGTCTTGGTGTTGTTGTGGCCGCCGTTGTTGTTGCTGTTGCTGTTGCTGGTCTCTGTAGACTATCCCCCAGCCAGGTCCATGTTGGTCCTGGGGGGGGGGCGCGGTTCAGGGTTGGCCGCTCCCCGGTTCGTCTGCTTCCACACGTATTTGGAGGCTTTGTTTTGGACTCGTTGGCTCCCGTGACCTGCATTCGCACGCGGTCCGTCTGGGTCTTCATCACCTTCGTCAGTCTCCTCTTGTGCTCCTGCAGTCGGCTCCGCGGCGTTCGCGTCTGCTCGGGCTGTGTCTGCTGTGGGGGCTTCGGCTGCTACTGCTTCTCCTTCTGGGCTCTCCCCCGCTGCTGCTTCGGCTGTAGTGTGGCATTGCTCACCCATATTGACTGTGGCTTCGGCAGGTGTGCTGTCTTCATCCGGCTGGTGGTGGGTGGCCGTGGGTGGGCATTGCTGTGGTGTTTGGTTTTGGGTGGATTGCCGACGGCTTTGGTCTTGGCTCTGGTCGGCCCAGGGTGGGTTTTGGTGTGGGGGAGTGGGAGGTGAATGTGGCGTATCTGTTGACACCGCGTCAGGGTCTCTCTGCG